CCTACATCTAACTGCTCTCCTCTTTTGAAGAGAGACAGTGTGTCTTATATTGCTGTTCTTTTTTAAAGATGATAATCTTTTTTTGAAGCTAAATTCCTGTAGTGCAATGGGATAGCTTTTAAAGAGATTTAATTATTGTTGTGAAACTGGCTAATTTGTAAACATGTTTTGTGGAGGTATTCTGATTTCTCCTTAAGTAAGTACACTGTACACCATAAGTACACTGTAGTTACTTAAGGAAAAATCAAAATACCTCCCAGAGCACTCCCCAGGTATATCATGCCACTATGGTAACATAGTGGTGAAATTTACCCATGCGCTAGGCGCACGGTGCAGTAACCACCAATTGTGGAGGTAGTAGAGATACATTGGCAGGTTTTACATTTCTTTTCATGGCATAGTCTGGATCCATTTGGTGTGTTTTGGGCTGTACCAAGTTTGAATTTCTGATGGAATAATCAGAGATTGAGTTCCATCAGAAATTCAGCAATCATCTCCCTTCCATCAGACTCTCTCTTGAATATTCCAACAACAACATCTCCTGTTTAGACATGATGATCCATATCCAGAATGGTAAAATACAGATCATGATATACATGAAACCCACAGACCAACAGACATATCTGCATATAACCATCAATCACCCTAAGCACACCAGGAAAGCTGTAATATACAGCCAAGCTTTCAGAAACCACGGAATTTGCACTGAGGAGAACACCTGTGATTGCCACCTCACAAATCTCAAAAAGGCTTTCACTCAACAGGGACACTCCTCCAGAGAGATAGATTGCACTTTTGAAAGAGCCACCCAGATACCACATGAAGAATTGCTGCAGTACAAAACAAACCCCACCATGAATTGCATACCACTGGTTATGACGTATCACCCATCCCTGGAACCTATACGAAAAATTCTCAAACAATTGCAACCCATACTAGAAGAATACCCAGTTCTTAAAGAGATCTTCCCAGAACCACCCATCCTAGCCTTCAAACAAGCACCAAACCTCGCTAACCTCATTAGCAGAAGAAAACTTCCTATGGCCCAAAACACACTGAATGGATCCAGACCATGTCAAGACAAGAAATATAAAACCTGCCAACATATCTCCCCACCCCACAATAACTACACCCCACAACAGAACCATCAGCATTGCTGGATCTTACAGCTGCACCTGCAGAAATGTAATATATCTCATCCAATGCACCAAATGCCATGATGGAAAATATGTAGGAGAGACCAAACAACAACTGCGCACCAGAATGAATGCACACCAGAAATCTATCAAAGACAGCAATACCCAATTACCCGTGGGGGCACATTTTCTCACAAGAAAACCACTCTCTCTCCAATTTCTCAGTTCTAATCCTCAAAAGGGAATTTACAAAACACCTTTCACAGAAGAGCCTATGAACTTCACTTCATAAATCTACTGGATACAAAAAATCATAGACTAAATATAGACATTGGATTTATGACACATTATAATATGCCTAACATCTGACTCCCCAGGTACCTCTCCATTATTTACCAGCTGCATTCATCCCCCTTTCCAACCCCTGTCTTTTACCCACTGACTTCTCAATTTACATCTTCACCTACTGGCTTTCTTGCATGTATACCAGCCCAGCCTCTGGCTTCTTTACTATTCATTCCATCCAGGAAGAGCACATGCTAACTGCAGATGCTTCCTCAGCCTGATAAAGGGTATTTACCCGAAAGCTTGCAAAGAAGAATTTTTTCCAACCATTTGAGTTGGGCTAATAAAAGATATCAGATTTACCCAAAGACCCCTGTCTGTCTATGAAGGCTTATAATGAATAAGAGCAGCTACTTTTGGAGAGTTTGGAGGCCTGAGGGTTGCAATGCTTCCATTTCATAACCTTTAGGTATTCAGATACATAAACCAGATTTCATTTTATTTATACTGTAAGATTTGTACTTGTATTTGCAGCAGATAGCTTGTTTCTTTCTGATCAATAGGATGAGAAGAATATAAAAAAAACTGGTGCAGTGTCAAAATGTAGGTGGTTAAAGAGAGAGAAAGTGAGAGAGAGAGAGAGAGACAGATTATTAAAAAGCATGCTCCAAATAGAAAATGAGATTAAGGGTGACATTTTAGCCACATGCTCTTCTCTGAGCCACAGGGAAAAAAATTAGTATTAACCTTGCTCTATTTTTTCTATGCCCAAAGAAGACCTCATAGGCAATATGTCATGTCTAATACATTTTCTATTTCTATTGTCTATTTTTACTAGCAGTGCTAGCACTTTGCTTCTTTGTAGGCATGTTGCTAGGTAGAGATTAAAGGGAAGGGATTATGTTTTCTTTTATGAAGTCACTGAGCTAAAGGTATATTCAACAATGCAAGTTTATCATAAATGCAAAAAAAAATCACTCTGGAAAAATAGACTTCTATGGTATAAAAGTTGATATGATTATGCCTCCTTTTGAAATCTCTTTCTAAGAAACCTAGCATGTCTACAGTGTGTGGAAGGCATTGAATTTATGGCATAATTCACATGCTAATTGTGCCATACATTATAGCATGCCACCCATGCAAAGAAGTTCCAATATGGGGCTTCCCCTCCATCAGCAGATACGCAATGAGATCTGAAGTATTCTTCCCAGATCCAAAAAAATGTGGAATAACGGTGGGGCTGTTTTGATCCACTCATCAATCTTGTGCTGCCTGTACTCTTGCAGTTCAAGTGCCCAATGTGCTTTTTTGAACATTCTGAGAGAGGTATGGGGAGGGAGATACCTCCTGATCTTGGGCTCCCCTGAAGCCATACAGTGCAGCCTGCATAGGAGCACGTTTAAGGACCAGCAGTGCATTTAAGGCCACAATTGTGATTCCAGGCTCCCTGCATGCCAGTAAATTGAAAGATGTGCTGTGCAGCCCAGCAATGGAGGACCAGTTCCCTGATGCTGGGTTCCCCAGTGCACCTTTAAAGGTTTAGGTATGAGGAAAACTCTGGTTTGGAGACTGGGTCCTTGACCCAGGCTCCCATCCCTCCCTGGGCTAGCAGACACATGATAGGATTGAGAAATTTTATCTTGGATCCCCCAAATTATGTGTCCTACCATGTATTTTGGGATCTGAGATAAAATTCCTCAGATCCCATTGCAGGATTAAACTTATATTTGCCAGGACCCTATGACTGCCATTTATTCTTTGAAAAAATACTCTACTGTGTTGATATACAGGGGTATTCAACACCTGAATCTGAGCTAAATCTTTGTTTAGAGGGTGAAAGCACTACATGTATTGCCTGTTGCTATGGGGCAAATTTAATCCCTTGGTCTGGAATTTTCATATGAAGTCATTGCTAATGAATCCTCAATTATGGGTTTTATGTTCTGCACAGGGTCTTGGACCCTGGATTCAGAGTGAATTTCATCCTGCAAGATTATTTGAGTTAGAACTGTACATCTTATTTTGTGAAGGTCATGGTCAATAGACTGAAGTTCTTTTAACATTCCTATATCAGAATTTCTATATTTGGTTTGGTTTCAAACATGAGTATTTTATGTATTACAGTTCAGAGCAGAGCGGGAGCTGGAGCAATGGGACACATGGGGGAAGCAGAGACTTCCAGTTATCGCTATGCCAGGGGTGTGACTGCACAGCCACAGCAGCAGCTTCTATTTTGCTAACTTTCCTGCCCCCCACCTCCCAAGTCAGTGCCTGGGGCTGCTGTTCCAGTTGCCCTTCCATAGTTATACTACTGGGTGGGTGTGTCTAGACAAGACACTTAACTGTGCATTACCATAGTTTGATGAAAAGTAAGCATTTGCATCTACATGTGCACATGTGTACTACCCAGTAAACCTCTCTAATCTCAAGCAAATTCGTAACCTGAAAATGCAAGTAACAAATTTACTTGAGATTAGTAATGGTGCAGTAGTGTTCATGTAGAAGTCTGACTAGGAGCAAAACCTGCTGCCACCAAGGAGGTGGGAGATAGCTTCAAGCCCCTTGCTCTGAGACCGTGATCAGGGAGTGGAGGCCTGGGAGACCCTTATCTCCCAGAGCCGGCCCTTAAGGATCTCCCAGCACTGGTCCCACAGTCAAGGAGCCAGCGCTGGGAGAAAAGGATCTCCCAGCACTGGCTCACAATCGTGGAGCTAGCGCGGGGAGATAAGGATCTCCCAGCACCGGCCCCATGGTCACGGAGCTGGTGCTGGGAGTTCCCTACTGATGGGGGCAGGGGAGCCTGTTCCCCACTCTGCTCTGCAAGCACAGAGCTGAGGGGAGAACATGCTCAGGAGCTTGTTTCCCACTCAGCTCCGCACTCATGGAGTTGGGTGGGGAAGAAGCCCCCCAACCCGTTCCTGCCCCAGCTTTGTGGAGCTGAGTGGGGAACAAGCTCCCCAGCCTGTTTCCCCTCCACCTCTGTGCTCACAGAGCTGTGCAGGAAACAAGCCCCTCAGCTTCTTCCCCCTGCCCAGCTCCTGGCTCATGGAGCTGAGTGGGGAA